ATTTGCTAAAGAATTCATTAGAAATCTCAAAATTAAAATTAGATGAGTAACATTAACATTTTTTTTAAATTACAGTTCTATTAATTAAAAAATATTTATTAACCTTTATTTTTAAAATAATATTGATAAATTACATATTATTGAATAATTATTTTGTAATTAAGAAAATATTCACATACATATATACCCAATAATAAATATCATTGATTTCCTGCTTTTATATTAAGTTAGTTTTATAGGTTTCTTATCCAATTAATCTAATATTGAAGGGGGTAAATTAAATTTTTGAGATGAAAAATTAAATTGTTTTAACACTATCCATTATGATGAATTAATTTCACTGTAAAATTTAACTGATTAATGAGTTTATCAAAAGAATACAGTTTTTCAAAGCTAAAAAGTGATGAGGTATATGTTTAGTCAAGATATTAATTAATTTCATTAAATTCATCTTGAAGATAAAAGTGATTATAATACTCTATAACAGTTGTATACATTATCTCAGTGATTGATAAATGTTTGTTCTTATTTAGATATTTAACAGTATTTTTGAAAGTTTCTTTTGGATGCAGCATTAAGTCAATAATCATCAGTAATTAAGATAATATATTGTTATTTCTTCTAATTATAATCTAGGGTAGATATAATTATATTCTTAAAGCTTAATCTTTTTGGGGATATAATACTTATTGATGATTAATTTATCTTGACAGTATTTTATATTCGGAAATATTTATATTTCTATTAATAAATAATAAAAGGTATTATGAAATCTAATTGTTTTAACTTTTTTATAGTTTAGATTAATTCTAGTATTAACTTTATTTTTTAATTCTTGACATATCTTTTTTATTATATTTGTTATTAAATAAAATAATAAGTAATTGTTAACTATCTTTTACTATTTATGAATTAAAAACTAAATTTTAATACTATTAACTTTTAATACCAATCCATTTTATAAATAATAATAAATTAAGTAAACCTATCAGAATATACTTGGTGATTTAAAAAGAATGACGTTGTGTTAAGTTACTTTTAATTTTTTATAAATAATAATTTCACACTTTCTTTTAACCTCTGTGTTGTCCTAACTATTTTCCGTTAAAATATCTGTAGAGTATTAATTTAATGTAGCATCATTTAAATTTAAATTACTATAAATATTAATTGATAAAAGATTTTATAACACCCTATAAATATACCATACACTAGGCTGACTTGAGATTGTTATAATATTAAAGTAAAAGAAGTGTGCATTTCGATAAAAGTGAATAAAACTTTGGAAAACATGTACTTACCTATCTTTAGAAATGAACAGATATGATAACGACATAATGAAAAAATATTAGAAATTGATTGTAATTATAATTGTTTTTGATTAATAATTAAATTCACTTTTACTAATATTCTTCTAAAAAGCAACTTCCTTTAGATTGAAATAAGGGTCTTAAATCTTTCCCTTAATGATTTATAAATTCACCTTGTAAGATATATGTTCCTTCTACTTCCAATATTATTTTTTTGGATAAAACAAGAATAGAATAATTAGAGACTAAATAATAATTGAAAAATAAATACCTGCTAAGGGATTGTTTTAAAATAAAGGGGTTTTAAATTAAGCCAGAATATCTTTGTAATTTTTATCGGAGTAGTGAGTTTCTTATCCTATTTTTAAATCCCAAAGACGGATAGAGTTATCACTACTACCAGAGGCTAATATGTTTCCATCAGGAGAGAAACAGACTGAGTAGACAGTGTTAGTATGACCATCCAATTTGGCTTTTTATTATCCTGTGTTGACATCCCATAGACGGATAGACTAATCACCACTACCAGATGCTAATGTATTTCCATCAGGAGAGAAACAGACTGAGTAGACCCAATTTGTATGACTATCTAATTTGACTTTTTATTAACCTGTTTTGACATCCCATAGACGGATAGACTAATCATAACTACCAGAAGCTAATGTATTTCCATCAGGAGAGAAACAGACTGATCTAACAGTACCATTATGACCATCTAATTTTGCCTTTTATTATCCTGTTTTAAAATCCCAAAGACGGATAGAGTTATCACTACTACCAGAGGCTAATATGTTTCCATCAGGAGAGAAACAGACTGAGTAGACAGTGTTAGTATGACCATCCAATTTGGCTTTTTATTATCCTGTTTTGACATCCCAAAGACGGATTGACTTATCATAACTACTAGATGCTAATGTATTTCCATCAGGAGAGAAACAGATTTATCTCACAAAATTACTATGACCATCTAATTTGGCTTTTTATTAACCTGTTTTGACATCCCATAGACGGATAGACTTATCATCACTACCAGAAGCTAATGTATTTCCATCAGGAGAGAAACAGACTGAGTAGACATTATGAGTATGACCATCTAATTTGGCTTTTTATTATCCTGTTTTGACATCCCATAGACGGATAGACTTATCATCACTACCAGAAGCTAATGTATTTCCATCAGGAGAGAAACAGACTGAGTAGACATTATGAGTATGACCATCTAATTTGGCTTTTTATTATCCTGTTTTGACATCCCATAGACGGATAGACTTATCATCACTACCAGAAGCTAATGTATTTCCATCAGGAGAGAAACAGACTGAGTAGACATTATGAGTATGACCATCTAATTTGGCTTTTTATTATCCTGTTTTGACATCCCATAGACGGATAGACTTATCATCACTACCAGAAGCTAATGTATTTCCATCAGGAGAGAAACAGACTGAGTAGACATTATGAGTATGACCATCTAATTTGGCTTTTTATTATCCTGTTTTGACATCCCATAGACGGATAGACTTATCATCACTACCAGAAGCTAATGTATTTCCATCAGGAGAGAAACAGACTGAGTAGACATTATGAGTATGACCATCTAATTTGGCTTTTTATTATCCTGTTTTGACATCCCATAGACGGATAGACTTATCATCACTACCAGAAGCTAATGTATTTCCATCAGGAGAGAAACAGACTGAGTAGACATTATGAGTATGACCATCTAATTTGGCTTTTTATTATCCTGTTTTGACATCCCATAGACGGATAGACTTATCATCACTACCAGAAGCTAATGTATTTCCATCAGGAGAGAAACAGACTGAGTAGACATTATGAGTATGACCATCTAATTTGGCTTTTTATTATCCTGTTTTGACATCCCATAGACGGATAGACTTATCATCACTACCAGAAGCTAATGTATTTCCATCAGGAGAGAAACAGACTGAGTAGACATTATGAGTATGACCATCTAATTTGGCTTTTTATTATCCTGTTTTGACATCCCATAGACGGATAGACTTATCATCACTACCAGAAGCTAATGTATTTCCATCAGGAGAGAAACAAACTGATTTAACAAAATCATCATGACCATCTAATTAGGCCTTTTATTATTATCCTGTTTTTACATCCCATAGATGGATAGAATTATCACTACTACAAGATGCTAAAGTAGTACCATCAGGAGAGAAACAGATTGACATTACCCAATGCTCCTGACCATCTAATTAGGCTTTTTATTATCCTGTTTTGATATCCCATAGACAGATAGACTAATCACTACTACCAGATGAAAATGTATTTCCATCAGGAGAGAAACAGACTGAGTAGACAGTGCTATTATGACCATCTAATTTGGCTTTTTATTATCCTGTTTTAACATACCATAAACAGATATACTTATCATAACTACAAGATGCTAATATCGTTTCATCAGGAGAAAAACAGACTTAGTTGATCTAATTAGTATGACCAAATAATTTGGCTTTTTTCTTTCTTGTTTTAGCATCCCATAATAAGACAGACCCATAACCACTACCAATAGCTAATGTGTTTCCATCAGGAGAGAAACAGACTGAGTAGACAGTATTAGTATGACCATCTAATTTGGCTTTTTATTATCCTGTTTTAACATCCCATAGACGAATAGAACAATCACCACCACCATTAAGATTACCACTACCAGATGCTAATGTATTTCCATCAGGAGAGAAACAAACTGATTAGACACAATCATCATGACCATCTAATTAGGCTTTTTATTTTCCTGTTTTTACATCCCAAAGACGGATAGACTTATCATCACTACCTGAAGCTAATGTATTTCCATCAGGAGAGAAACAGACTGAGTAGACATCACTAGTATGACCATTTAATTTATTTAATTCATGGATTCTTAAGTTGTTCCATTTACAATTCAATAATAATGCTCCATTCAACTTTATTCCACTTATGTTAACATTATTAAATTAGGATCCACTAAAGTTACACTTAACAAAATTTGCTCCCACCAATGAAGTATTTGAGATTTTTATGTTTTCAAAATTTTTGTTCCTAAGGTCCACCTTCATCTAAACTAATAAATGTAATGAATTAGACCCACCCTATATTATAGTTTCATCAATGGATGTGATTTGAATTAAAAATTACAAAAATTCAACGATCGTTCTATTATCCTTTATGCTATTAATAAAACTTAATGTTGATTCTTCATTTTCTTCAGAGGAAAAGTTTTAACTATTGAATTCATGATCTTTTAATTTTCTTAAGACATCTATAATTTATTTCATGCCATTTCTAACAACAGAAAATTTCTATTCTGTATCAGTTTCTTGTAAGATTTAAGATTCTAACTGTCTCTGAATCCCAATGTCTGATAGAAATTCAATGCAGTCTTAAACATTTTCCTTTCTTAATATTTCTAATATTGTCCCAAAGATTTGTATATCGACATCTATTATTTAATTAAAGATGTCAGCTAGAGCTTCCTTCTCTTAAAAAGAGCCCTGCATTTTCTTTTTATTATTTAATAATAATTTCAATTACTCTAACTTTAATTTATATACTGCAAAATCGATAAAAGTATCTTATGCATTTTTGTAAAATAGAAGTTCAGATTTTTTGTAGATTTGGAATTGATCATAATAGAGGTGAAATATACTCTAGAGAAACCTTTTCAACCTTTCCATTGCTTTCCTCTTAAAAAATATGGAATAAATAATTTATATATATGAATAATTTAATTTATACTTAATTTGTATAATATATACTTGATTAATTCATGTTTCTTTTAATATATATTTTAAAGCTTCAATAATTGTAAGTTTTTTCAGGAGTCAATTAAAACACCATTTATTTGATTTTTTATAAAAAATATAAAGATGAAGAAATTTTTTTTTTTTAAAGTGAATAATTAACAATTTTTTTGGTTTTAAAGTGATGATGAAATATTGTCAATAAAAGTGAAAAGTAACAATTTTTTAGGCTTTAATTATTTTTATTTTATTATAAAAGTCTAAATCTAGTATGACCCTTCTTTTGAGATTACCTTGTCTTCAGGAAAATTTTGGTCAAAATATTTTATAAAAAGCAAAGGGGGGAATTGAAAAAAAATATAATTACAGAAAAATTTTCCTTCTTGATGTGTGGATTATATCTTTTCATAGAACCTAATCTTTTTTAAAAAGGAAATAAACTTTGAAATATATCTTTTTATTATAAATCTTCAAATCTATTTTTTATATCATATTCTTCTCTGGTATATACTTGATACAATTATTCTTTATATTTATGACTTATTGTGTTCTTAAAGGGCAATGTTTTACAATTTAATTTCTTATTACAAATAGATTATGTCAATTTTCCAGATAAAGTCTCTCAAT